GGTCCAACAAGACCGGGTCTTCCTGGAGGGCCTGGGGGGCCCAGAGGACCTGGCAGTCCATCGTCTCCCTGTTCCCCTTTCTCGGACGTTCCCTTCGGTCCTGGAATCCCCAGTGGTCCCTGTGGTCCCGGTAAACCTTAAAATAATGATGAATTCATCAATTGCATTTTCTAAAGTGATTCCTATTGCAAAATGAAGTTATTGAAGTGCCTGAGGCAACACTTGCCAGTGGAAAATTCAATCATGATTATTAATTCAGTAGCGAAGTGGTAAAACGGTTTAAGTCGACTTATCTCCCAGTTCAGTTTTTCAGGAATATTTCCGAATCTAAGGGAGATAGCGAAATTTTCGTAATTACATTTATTGTAGCTCTCAATGGGCTCTAAAAAAAAGGTTATAATAAAAATTTTGCTCTCTCCCTTAGATTCCGAGATATTCATTGAAAACTGGTCAATAGTCAAAATTGACTTGTACCGTTTTACCACTTCACTACTGAATTATTCGTTTAGTTATTTATTCACCTGGAGGTCCGATGTATCCAACTAATCCAGGACGACCCGGCGTACCATTCTGTCCTGGCTCTCCAGGAGGACCTAAAGCAAGTGAAAAATTGCTTTTGTTTTCATATAGCAATATAATTTTCACATAATTTATTCTATCTTATTTGATTATGCCCTTTTACCTGTCAGATTCGATTTTTTTTCTTCAATAAATTGTTTATAATGATTCTCATTGCAAAAAAACAAAACGACTAATCAGAATTATATTTCGCAATTTATCAGCAGTTAAATTTTTATATTACCATAAATGATTTGCTCATGTTCTGATTTCTATGTTCACTGAATAAGATTTCAATCATAATTACAATTCAATTTTTTTTGGAATACACTTTAGAGTGTGAATTTCTGGAATTCAGTTGGACAATTATGATTTGTTTATTCGTATTTCCTAAAAAATCCTGAAGTTAAATTTTAACGATTACAAAGATTCCATTCGAGAAAGTAAAATATTATTCAAAACGTCTCATTTGAAAACCTTCATGAGTATCAAAAATAAAGAAATTAATTCACCAAGTTCTCCTTGAACTCCAATAGGTCCAGGGATGATTTCATCCAGTTCCGGAATGTACAGTCCTTTCTCTCCAGGCGCTCCCTGCCTTCCAGGAGGTCCACGGTTTCCAATTTCTCCAGGTTCACCCTGAAATAATTCAAAATAATTTCGAATGTTGAACACTTCATGTTGTCATCGAGAAAAATTCATTGAGAGTTCATTACGTCAAGGCCGTCTTCTCCGGGACGTCCTGCATATCCAGGCGCGCCCTTGTCTCCTTTCTCACCGGCAGGTCCACTCGGACCTGTGACACCTTGTTTTCCACGAGGACCGTCATCGCCTTGCTCTCCTTTCACACCTTTCACACCTAGGTATCCGGGTCGTCCCTTGAAAAATACAAAGCCAATTCAATTAATTTCATCGTTGATGAAAATTCTTGATGAGAATTTTCATCTGTAATTAATCAATTAAATAATCAATTCGTTCATTAATACGGAATTACGATGAAATCAAAATCCTGCTTTCAATTCAAAATATAATTTCTTTTTTACATTCTCAAATGTATTCTTGGTAAAAGAGAAATGAGTAATTCATGTTGAATATAAAATCTTCTTTTATCTAGACATTTCGAAACATTTGTCCGCAGTAAAGATTTCTAATTTTCAATTTTTTGCCCTTTCAAATTAAATATTTGGATCCACCAATCAAATATATAAAATGTGCAGCCAGAGAAATTATACATATTCAATGTTTGTTTCTAATCGATCAATTTATTCAATGACTCTCGTGAAATTAATTTTTTTCGTCATGATTGTTAATTTTCTTATTTTGATTATGAGCGAAAGTAATTAATTCTTCTTTCTTGGGTTTTCATTTATCATGTTCTTTCATGAATCTCAGAAATTTCAATTTCTTCAATTTTCCCTTTTTCGCAAATATCATAATTAGATTTTTTTTTCATTTCTTCATGTGATAATCCAAAAAAATTCCGCGGCTTACGGGAAAAATCGAGGAAATGATTGATTTTCGAAGGAAATTAATTCACAATACTTCCCTTATTTTTGAACAATTACGGGTACTTATCGGGAAATACTTTGAAAATTGAAGAGGGATTGATAAAAAATTCGAAATTATTCAATCATTTTATTCTCATTCATTTTTATCATTGATGACGTTTTTCTTTCTATGTATCATTGATTTTTATAATGCATTTCTGAGTGTATGAACCGTAATAGATTCATATTCAAACCTTTCGTTTATCGATCTAATTTTCATCAGAAATTCTGAAATTTTTGCCGACCATAAAAACTATTTCAGTTTGCCATTTTCAAATTGAATAGTATAGTATATTTCGATGTGACCGCGTGTTTTTTGACCCATGGGAGGTGTGTAGCGCTCACCGAAGGCAAGTACTACCTTCTCAAGGGTCGAAGGACACTTTTCCCACGAATATCGAACCCTATTTTTCATCACCTTATTTTTCAATAGGTGGAAAGTTCACTTTACGCACACGCAATAAAATGGTATATTTCGATATGAGTGCGTAAGAGTCTTTTGACTTGTGAGTGGTCGCCGAAGGCGAGTGCTTCTCTGCCAAGTGTCAAAGAATACACACAGAAAAACCTAAACGTAAATTACGCTTTGCCAAATGTAATTTACACTTAACGGCAATATGATGTCTGGTGGCTTTTTTCCGTCATAAAAATCGGAATTTAGGCTTTAAAAAGGCGTATTCTACGGTCAAAATAAAAACGTAAATTACGCCTAAGCAAAGCGTATTTTATGTTTAGCAAAACATAAATTATGCCTAAACAAAGCCTCTTTTACGTTTATCAAAAGGTAAATTACGTTTATCAAAAATATGAAAAAATAAGCGTAATTTACGACCATTTTGAGCGTAATTTACGATTTTGTAGTCGTAAATTACGTTTATATAATCGTAATTTACGTTTAGGTTTTTTGTGTGTCCTTTTCCACGAGTGTCGAACCCTATTTTTCATTGCTGCACGTGCGCAAATTCCACTTTCCCCACCAGTGATGAAAAATGAATTTAAACTCCATTGATCTCCACAGGACCTCGTAGTTACTGAAAATTTTGAATTGGAAAATTGTATGTCAGTCATCTTGAGCGCTTGAGGGTCACTACCCGTCAATTCACCATCGCAAATTCCAGGATTTAGGTACAGAAAAGAACCAGCGCGCGCCCCGTCCACTAATAAAAAAATTATATTATATGAATATTTAATTAACATACCATAGGGCCTTTATCTCCCATCTCTCCCTTCCTCCCCCGATCGCCGTAATCCCCCCGAACACCTTTCCTCCCGGGTGCTCCAGGCTCTGGTTCCGAGTCATTATTCTTCTTCCACTCTTTGTTAATCGGTCCCGGTTCTCCGCGATCTCCCTGCTCTCCAGGCTGTCCCTTGTCCCCATAAACCGTATCACCCTGATCGCCAGTCAGTCCAGGCAGACCAGGCTCACCTTGATAGCCCTGAATATTCGCCACACATAATGTATAATCTTTCAAGATAAGATTTGGGCTGATGACGCAAAGGCCGAATCCTATGTGCCGAAGGAAATGTAACCGAAGATGGTATCGCATTCTTTCATGGTCATGACACACGAGATTACCTCAGCAAAATTCATTACTTTTATTTCTCTTTTTTCATGGTGATGACAGTATCTCAGATTTCATCTTAAACGACTCCTCCTCTCACATGTAGAAAAAAATTCTATAGAGGAATTAATTCGGTGAATTTGGACATTTACCAGTGGAATTTTCTGGACTGAAGGCTTCTGGAATTAGGATTTTGTAGAGAAAAACGTTTGCAGATTTCTCTCATGGAAAACTGATTGATAAATTGATTGTGATTTTTCTGTATGACTTATTCGCTTCCAATTTTATTTATTAGAAAGTTCCATTGCATTTTCTATTGAACTTCTATTAAACATTATATTAAAATATTTTAAAGAATGCAAAAAGCAAAGCAAATGGAGAAAAACTAATAAAATTTTCAGTAGAAGCTCAATATAATTTTCTATTAAATTTTTTCGATCAACATTATTAATTATTTATTAATCATCAATTATATAGTTATCTAATGTGTAAATTAATAAATATAATTATATTCATTAATCAATGCACATAAAAATGATATATTTTCCAGAGAATGCACATCTCTAAAGTTAATTAGCAAATACTGAACAATTTCTTAAACGTCTTTAAACGGAAAATTATCCATTACGAAATGTCAGAATTTCGTTTGTACTGATTATTTTCCTTGCCATCAATCACCATTAAATAATGGGGAACTAATTGCCGCGAATGCTAACCGAAAACTTACAAGAATAATAAATTTCTCCGCTACGTTATATCTTTCATTATTTCTCCTGCGGGTTCTCTGCAGTGGCTATTAAAACGCTCTGAGAAATTCTCGAACAATATTTCATGTAAGCAGATGGTGGTGTTGGTAGTGTTACCGGTGAGTAAAAAAACGTGGATGTATAAAAGTGAAATAAAGGCGTAGCGAAATGCAAGAGGCAGTGTATACTGAACATATAATACTGGTGTATCGCGAATCTGCAGCTCCGTGTGCAGGAGCGCGTGGGCAGCAACCTAAATTCTCGCGAGATTCACTCAACGTTAGTTTAACATCGCTCCGGAACGTGCCATGATATTGTGTACTCAGGAGGGGGCGATAATAATGTAATGGCGATCATGGGATTTTTCATTACTCCAGGCAATTTCGTCAATTTTTTTCTTGTACTTACGAAGTCACCGGTGTCACCGGCGTAACCGGGCTCTCCAATGTATCCTGGAGGACCGTCGAAGCCCTAGAAATTATGGGAAAAGAAAAATTATTCAATGGATTAAATTGGAAAAAACGACAGTTCATACGCATAAAAAAATGAATAGGAAAATTCCACCGAATTTCTCAAGCTTGTGACCGATTCTGTCGAAAAATTCCGCAGCTGATGGGTGCGTTTCTTTCATAGAAATGTTCAATGGGAAATATTTGAATACAAAAAATATGAATCTTTCTATGTTATAAAAATCTAAATCGACTTCTGGTGATAAAAATTTGGTACTCGAAATTAAGACTCCAAAGTTAAGGGTCATGAGGGCTAGAATAAGGGTCATGAAGGCCAAAATAGGGGTCATAAGGGTCAAAAGGGTCAGATGAAGGGTCACAACGGTCAGATTAAGGACTCAAATAAGGGTAACAAGGGTCTGATTAAGGGCCCATATAAGTGTCACAAGGATCAGATTGGGGTCACAAGGTCAGAGTAAGAGTCTAAATGAGGAACAAGGAACTCAGAATCAAAGTCTAAATGAGGGTCACAAGGGTCAAATTAAGGGTTACGTGGGTCAGATTAAGGGTTGCAAGATTAAGGGTCACAACGATCAGATTAAAGATAACAAAGGTGATATTAGGGGTCCAAATAAGGGTGACAAGCGTCAAAATAAGGGTCGCAAGGGCTATAATGAGGGTTAAAATGAGAATCACAACGGTCAGATTAAGGGTCCCAAGGGTTAAAATAAAGATGTGAGGGTTGGCGGAGTGAGCAGGGGGCGTAGCCCCCTAGTATTTGAATATATTCGAATATTTGTGGTTCTCCAAGTATTCTGGAACCAAGTTACCTTCGGTCCATCACGACCGGCATTTCCTCGAACTCCCTTAACCCCTAGCGAGTTGATCCCCCCCTCGCCGGGCTCTCCCGCAGGTCCGGGATCTCCAAGGAGTCCAGGACCACCGCGAGGACCGTAGGCTCCGGTCATTCCGGGGGCACCAGCTCGTCCGTCAGTTCCATTACACCCGTCCAATCCGTCGGGACCTCTCACACCAGGAGTACCACGGTGACCCTAGAATAAACTGCTCGTTCAATACCGGTTTCCCAAGAGGATTATTTTTCTTTCTATTCTACTCACCGGCAGACCAGCATCACCCAAGAAACCTTTCATTCCCTTGTCTCCCTAAAAAATCAAAGAAAATATAAATAGAGAGATATCAATTAGGTGGAACTCGATGGAATAATGCCTTGAAGGACATTTACGTCTCTTGTGCATTTTTTATTTGGGGAATCCGAAAAATATGATTCATCAATTAAATTGGGTGCGAAATAATTGAGCGAAAATCATGGCTAATCTGCATTTTTTAAATTACATATTGCAGAAAATTGATTTTTTAAAATATTTAATATTAACAGTCAATTAAATTGCGTGAGAAAAATTTGAAAAAATCATGAATATTCTGCGTAATAAAAATTACATGTTGCACAGAATTATCATTTTTTTAAATATTCGTTGTTTATGAATAAATAATTGAAATTGTTTAAACTATCGGAAACCTTATTATTTTTGGCATGAAATCGATGTCTGGTAAAATTTTGAATATGAGTAAATTTGTTACGATTCTGAACAAATGCTTCTTATGGACGAAAATTGATTATTTATAAATTATTCATAGAAAATGCTCGTAATTTAAAAAAATTGTAATTTGTTAAATATTTCATCAGTCTATCTCCAAAAGTAAACTTTCTATTTTTTTTCTGATTTAAAAAATGTTTTCTAACCGTTCAATATCGAGATTCAAATTCAGACCTGCAAAGTTTAAATAATAAAATAATTCTCGGAAAAAAATATACTTGAATCGAGTATATTTTATACTCGAATGGGTGATGGGTATTTCAATTCGAGGATAATTATTTCGCATCAGCACGGGTTGTACCAAGCGCTCTCAAGTGTCATATAAGGGTCAGACACTACGTGTGAGAATATAAGGGTCAAAAAGTGGAGGTGAAAAAATAAGGGTCGGAATATTAGAGTCAAAAACTGAGGGTCAGAATGTTAGGGTTAAAAAAAGAGGGTCAGTAATAGTCTAACCCTCATTTTCCAATCTCCACTTTTTGACCCTTATATTCTGACACTTAGTGCCTGACCCTTATATTACACTTAAAAGGGCTTGCTACAATCCGGCCTGACACAAAGAATCGTCTTCGAATTGAAATACCCATCCATTGACTATAAAATATACTTGTAAATATAATTGTAAATATAATTGATGGGAGCTGCTTTATGACATATCGAAAATTCAAAGAAACCCATAAAAAGAATTAATTCCTAAATTGAAACCAAAGACAAACCAGATCTCCATTCAATAAAACAAATGACCAGACATTTACAAGAAAAATGTTTACATGATATATCTGGGAAACCGTTTGACCACTGGTCAACAACCCAAAACACATTGCTGCAAGCCGTTTCCTCGCGGTTATTACAGTTTTTCGTATCTCCAGTTGTCGGCACATGGCCAGCACTCCTCATTTCCCCGTTTCCTTTTAATCCTCCCCCATCTAATCGTAAACAAGCTTGCTTCAACTTTTCCATGAGTCAAGTTTTTCCAACAGTTTAAAAGGCCCCATCTCGTCTGTGCGAAAACTTTAGCCAGGGTGTTCGCAAAAAGTGTTGGATTTTACCGAACTATTCTTCCTTCACGTTTTTCTTTCTCCTTTATTTTTTCTGCCACTCCTCCACGATTTGTCAGATGATGGACGTCTGCGTTCCAACAATTCGTTCAACCCAGGGTACTTCGTACCACGTGTCAGCTTCTCTTCAATCGGGAAAAAAAAAGTGTCATCGTAACTCGATACTCTCTTTTCGTTATCTTTCATCTGAGAGGAGCAGGAGTGACAATTTTCGTTTCAATTTTACATATGGTGTTGGAAAATAAATTGAATTTCATGGAAAAAATAATGAAACTTCGAATTTCATTGGAAATTGGATGCAATTTAAATTTTTTGAACAGCTGGAGACAGGAATTCTTTAATTTACTTTAATTTTCAAAGAAAATATGAATATTTAGTACCGAATTACGCTGCATTTTCAAAGAATTGATGATTCAAAAATACATTTATGTGGATTATCCCGGTGGCTTGGCGCAGTGGATAAGTTCGTTGCCTCACATGCGAAAGGTTCCGAGTTCATATCCCGGCCGGGTAGAATGGTGCGATCTAACCATTTAAAGTCTTGATCATCATCGCAGTATACCCTAACCGGGTCGAAGCGATGTAAAATAACGATACGAAAATAGTATATTTCGTAACGAGTGCTAAAAAACATTTTTTCA